TAGGTGAATCTAAGACTGTGTGGGCTATGCAGTCTACGGGGAATACTGTCAAACTCTGGCAAAAACATCGATGTAAGAGTTTACTTTTGGCATCCTGGAGTGTAATGTATCTTCTTTTTGTCCTGCCCTTGTGGAGTAGTCTGTGGGACTGCGGTCGCGGCGGAGTTTGATCTGAAAGTATAGGATATGTTAGGGCCTGTTAAGGGCAGCGCGTTATTGCACTAATTCTGGCGAATTGTGCCTGATGTGAGGAGTTGTTTGCAGCGGGCCAAAATCGACTTCACCGCAGAGGTCGCGAATTCACCTTGACGTTGTGTCTGTTGATGAAGACTACATAATGTTTCGAAAGGATGACTAAGGTGAGTGGGACAGGAGATGTATGTGGAAGTATGGTAGTGATTATTGCAAAGGAGATGTGCGTGCGCTGTACGGAGTCAATGCAGGGGTTAATGGGTGGATGACGACAAAACTAGCTTTTGGCTTTTTTTTTTTCCCCGACAAGTCATGTCTGACTCAAACTAATATCCGGATGCCTAAAAAAAGCCTGTAAGAAGCCCTACACTTCCTGCACTCGCTGACAACATACATAGACTATGTGCCTGCAAACATATGTGGGTGTAAACTGAGAGATCATGCTAGTTGGTTGTCTTCATTGAGGCCAGAGATGCAAGCCTGTAACACGAAGGACTGCCAGCACAATCACATCTCAAAAAGAGGTGACAACGTGGTGGTTTTTAATAACCTCCAGGTTGTAGTCTAACACACTACAAAAAGCATATTGACCCATTGTGGAAGTGTGCCATGTATGGTGTTCCATGTGTGGTCAAACAGTCAAGAAGAAACAAGATTTAAGGCATCAAATGCAGATTTGGGGAAACCAGCAAGACTCACATCCGTTGTTTCAGCATTTAGGAATGATGACACATATATCACATGCCCTGTCATCTGATTTCCTGCATGATTTCTACATTGTTCCTCAATGACTCTTCCAGAGCCTTGTCATGTACTTTCCAAAAGATGAGGTAGTTTATGCAAGAAACTATGCAAACAATCATTTCCCCTGAGTTAGAGACAATAACATTTGTGTATTTCAGGCTAGATAAAAAAAAAAAAAAAAAAAAAAAAAAAAAAAAAAAAAAAAAATATGAGAATGAATGTCCTTAACAAAGAATGCATACTGAGAACACATGTGCACATCACTTAAATGTGATAACCTCAATGGTTGTTGTTGTTGTTACAAGCCTTATAAAGCATTTTAAGTCACATCTTCCACAATGGGAGATTGATGCTGACTCGCGAAAGTCCTTGTATTGAAGAGCTTTCTGTCGAGTAGGTATTTTGGGAAAAGATGCGGTGATATGTGAGGTGAGAGCCAGAACAGGCAGCTGCAACTACCCAACATAATGTCACAAAAACGAAAAAATGGCGAATATAAGCAGATTGTATCTTTATCTCATAATTGAGAATTGAGGGAGGCGAGAGAGACTCTCATCAATCAAGAATATTCACATCCAGACTTAAGGCCACCAGGCCGTGAGGTAAGAACACTGCACTTATTGAGACAGTTTTGTAACTTTTAATAGTGTGGATCCTGTAATATAACAACAAGGATGACGTATGTGTACCTGACAACTGAAATACATTACAATCTGCAGAATCTAAAGAGTTCAACTAACTTAAGAGCTTAGCACAAAAACAACAGGTAAACTTTAAAGCTTCTTTGTGCAAGTAAATTTTATGCTCTGTCATGAACTTTTAATTATATCTGGTTATATAGGTATTTTGTTCATCACACATAAACAATTTCGACAAATGAAAGACAAATCTTTCAATGGGGCTTTATCTATGCGCTTGGGAGTACTGCTTCTGGCAACTATAGTAAGATCAGCATTGTGGTCAAATCGAGTGTAGAAAAGACTGATCACAACCAGACAGGTGCACGTAACACACAAAGGTTGTGGTGTTGTCGGTGGTCGGTTTTGTCAGAAGGGTGAAACATAGTTTCTTTTGTTGCTTTGCGGTGGTGGGGGTTTTTTTGTGTGGCTCGTGGCCACACTGTTGGTGGTGTGGGGTGGGTTTTGGGTGTTCTGTGACACGTCAGAGTGTTTGTGGTGGTTTATTGTGGTTTTGGTGTTGTTTGGCACACAGCACGGACACACGAGGTTGGTGTGGTCACTGATTTAAGCTCATGAAGACCGTATTGTCGTGGTGGGCTTGGCGTTTCAGTAAAAGCACTTCTTGTTCTGGACCAACTTTTGGCTCGTGCGTTAGAGAGGCTAGTGACCGTTTGGGTGGGATCGGGGTGGAGTGTGTGTATGAGAGTTTCACGGTGGAAACCTGAGGTAATAGTGAAAAGAAATTTCACAGGCTCGGGCAATAAACAAAAGACAGCAGAAAAATCTTGTCAAAGTCTTTTCCCAGATAAGTTCTGTAGGCCCCTGTCCAGTTACTGCACATTATATTTTTGCTGGCAAGTACAAACTTATCCTGTCAGTGAAGATCAAAAGTAACTTCCAGTAGACCTAAGAGGTTATTAGGCAAAATATAGTAAGGTTATTGGCAACTTAGTACATGTCTCAGTGCCAAACAGCTGAAGGGATTTAGATTGACAGGGTTTATGTAACTGTGTTGCTGAAGGTGGGTAGGTAACCCAAAACCGTACTTATAGTATTAGCGCGTTATTTATAGTGACCCCTGCGAGAGTTCCTTTAACATACTACGAGTCATTCACTTTCACATCTCATCTTTGCAGGAGCAGTAACCACTTGCTCCAGGGAATGCTTACATTCACACACACAGTGTGAACGACACACCAATCAACACGACACACACACGAGTGTAGCACCACACGACACGGACCGGACGAGCAGGGCCAACACACGACACACGAATCACACTACCAGTTGTGGTGGGTGGTTGCACACAATGGAGTCGGAGCACTCAGGGTTGTAATGTTTCTTGGTCACCAAGTACGACATGCAATCTGTTTGATGCACGGGCCAGATGATCTAAGAGCTGTGTAGAGGAGTGAACCATAGCAATAAGAAGTCGTGGGAGAAAGAGCAGAACATCCACACAAGACGTGGAATGTCTCATGTAGAGCAATTAGAAGTAGTTTAGTGTTTTTAACATGGGACTCTCCATGCAGCCTCTGTACAGATGCAACTAAATGGGAGAATTCATGAAGTGTTTCAGGTGGGATAATGGAAACTGAGTGTTCCAGTGTTTGAACAGCCTAATGAATCCGACTTTAATAACGATATCTGGTTATAAAGGAATAACAATGCAGATAACAGTGATAACCAAGCGTCTACGTAAGAGCCCTCCAATTCGTATTTGTTTTAGACAACCTCAAACCCATAACAAAAAATGAGTGTTTATGAGGCAAAAGTAACATTTTCTAAAAATGACCATATGCATATCTCTCAAACTAAAATGCTAAAGGATAAATATGTGCAAAATTAAAAAATCTAATGATAATGCTTCCACTATGTGCCAGTGTACACATCCATATTCCTAAAGAATCTCAGAAACAATCTTGTTAATACAAACTGGCATTATTTTAAAATATTTGTTATTAGATTATTTTATGCAAATGAGTATTCCCTTATTGCATTCCCTTTTTTAAATCTAATAACACACACTTGCATATCTCTGTATGAAGATCATTCAAGTCTGAGCGAATTCTGAAGCTCAATTGTCAGGCAACAAGCTGAGCATGATCGGTTAGTCACACGATGGAGATCAAGAGGCCTGCCTGTAACTTACGGAACCCACACATGATAACCTGGATATGTTTGAGTTACCTAATCCAAAACAAACACGCTCTCGCTAAGCGGTCCTACGACGCTGGTTATCAACTCGTTAAGCCAGGGTTTCCCTGTCCGGCTGAGTGCGCGTTCACATGAAAGGGGCGGGGTTAGCAACATTTGACCAATCACAAACATGGACAAGCGTACTGACAGCGAAGCGTCATACTTCCTGAATGAAAAACTTTAATATCAGACAAATATGAAGACGTTAAACTTTAAACATCCATGACTTAAACACTTTATCCAGGATAAAAGCCACATAGCTGCACCTGCAAAGGTGAATACAGCTGGTAAAAGAAAAAGTGTTTGAATGCGTACATTAACAGGTTTATGATATCACTGCCCCGTCTAAGACACGAGTGGATCTGACTTTAATTACATTTGTCTCGAGTGTTCCGTCAACTTAATGTGTTGCTTAAAATAATACTTCTGCATATAGTATGTGACACTGAGTGTTGCACGGCCAGATACGGCTCAGCTGACTCAGATAAGGAGATATATGATACATTATGTGTGATATGCCGCGGACTGTACTTAATGTTACTTTGATCCGGTTACTTATGTTGTGGCAGATATTTAAGTAAGCTTTCTTAACGCTAATGTTATAATAGTCAGATTGCTCTGAAGATGGGAGGTGATATTCTATTAATGTTCACGTTCACAGTCTGTGATTTTTGCCGGCCGTCTTTCCTGCAACGGCAGCTTTTCTGTATTTCCTTTCTCCTGTAATATGACTTGATCGCTTTAAACTCCGCACACTGAGCTCTGATTGGTCAGCAGGCGGTGCTTTCACTGAGTTGAGCTCTTAGCCTGCAACCTAACCTGCTCAACATAAGTTACTATGGAGATCTAGCCTGCTAAAAAGAGAACCAGCTTCGTAGGACCGGAAACCCCCTAGTTTTCTCTGAAGTTAGCCCGCTAAGCGAAAATCCTGCTTCGTAGTACAGGCCTCTGGCAATCAGCCCCACATCACATCTGTACCTTCCGCTTTCTTATGTTATTTACATAACATTCTAAACGTTTGTGCATGCTCTCCTGTCTCATCTACATTCAGGAGTACAAAACCTACAAAGAGAATTTCCTCAAAAGGTTCCAGTTGACCAAACTGCCTCCGTACCTCGTCTTTTGCATCAAAAGATTCACCAAGAACAACTTCTTCGTGGAGAAGAACCCCACAATCGTCAACTTCCCCATCACGTAAGTGCTGTGGATATATATCTGCAGGATCTAAAATGTGTGTTGATAATGGTTTTAATAATATGTTGTCCCTTTGTATTCTTTTCAACAGGAATGTAGACCTTCGTGAGTACTTGACAGAAGAAGCTCAAGTGACAGAGAAAAACACAACATATGACCTCGTCGCCAACGTAGTGCATGATGGGAAACCAACCGAGGGAGCATACAGAATACATGTTCTGCATCATGTGGGTTACAGCCGGATAGTTCAGAAATGACTTGTACAAACAACATAAAAATAAATATTTTTTAGACATAGCCAGTATTGTGTTGTTGTACAGCTATGTGTAAACAATATGTTTTGTGTTTTATCAGGGAACTGGGAAGTGGTATGAGATGCAGGACCTGCAGGTGACCGACATTCTCCCCCAGATGATCACACTGTCCGAGGCCTACATCCAGGCAAGTCCCTTTTCTATGAATTCTCGGAAATGGGGCAAATCACCATGTTTTCCTCCAAGTACCCATGGCGATGTTGGAAAGATATTGCTGCTGTTAGTGCTTTTACAAAACATTTACACAATATTTTTTATAAATATTCATCAGTATTTTGAAGGAAATAGCTAAATCGGTAAAGGCAAAAAATAGAAAAGTTGTGCAAATGACATTACTGTAGTGCTGCCTATGAAACAGCTTGTCCAGATTAAAGTATTCAAAATCTAAAACAAAATATATCTTCTTTTTTTTACATCACAATCTTGCTAGAATATGAATCTATTCCCTAATGTAATGCTGCTGGGCCTTGGCTCCAGATGTTTCAGAGTGACATGAAATATTCAGCACCTCTCATCTGAAGGCACTCGCAGCACAATAAATGAATAATTGTTGTGTGTATGTTTTTAAAGGGAGCGCTACTGTAGAACGGACAGTTGCCGCTTCTGATCATTTTAAAGACTATATAGCAGTTTTTTCAGTGTTGATTTTGCTAATAAACTTCATGGAGGACTGAATACGTGTAATTTGTGCTTAACGATTCAGATAATGAGAACGATCTAAAGAAAAAGCTTAGATTATCATTTTGTCCTCATTATCTGAACCGGAGAAAAAGCTTTTTCTGTTTTAACTGAATTTTCTTTTCTTTTTTCTCCTTCCAGATCTGGAAGAGACAGGAGAGTGACACGGACACAAACAGCCACACGGCGGTGTAAGTGAGGCCACATTCTCAACATGGCCAGAAGTAAACTGGGTATTTTAACGGATAAAACAACAACATGACAGAAATGCGAGTGGCTAAAGAGACTTTTTCTCGCTAGCAAAAAAAATAAAATGTATATGTTTCCCTTGTTTTTTTTCACAGTTTTATGTTTTTACTATGTGGAAGTTTCCAAATAAACAAACTTCAGGACACATTTGTGTGTGTTGAATTTTAATGACAAACCGTTGGATTTTGAATTAATTTGAGGACTTTGTCATTGATATGCAGTTATTAGCACCAAGCATCAGAGAACAGCATTAAGATAACAGAAAAAGCAGTTTTGTTCTAAAATCGTCTAATACATAATGAGAGCTTATTCTATGTAAGGAACTTTATATTTGCAGTTAACACATTCATAATGACATATTTAAAATGCAGAATAGTACTGTTCACCAAACCGTTCACCACTGCAGAAACTGATGTTCAGACTGAATCCCAGCCTTGTTGAATATATGGCTCATTGACTGAAGCAATGTGAGATGGATGATTTCTCAGCAAAAGTAAAAAAATAAGTTTGGCGCATTACATTAATAAATGTTTAAGAGATGATCAGTGCAATATACTTGTAAACAGAAAGCAGATCTGTGTGCACACAGTTGGCAGTTTGGTTCACTCCTTCCACATGAACTTCTCACAGTACGCCTGGTTCTGCAAATAACAAACAGACATGTGAAGTGAAACCATTTTTACCATTCCAATAACTCCCTTAGTACTTTAGAACTGTGTTTAGAGTTGTCACCCAGCATAGCCAAAAACCCATGTGTGCTTACATGGTGTCTTTCAAAGAAAATATTTGTAATAGGCATCTTCAACCAAGTTCTAATTCCTCCACATTTCTGAAAGATGAATACTTTGACTGATTTGCAGTTTTGACTAAAAACCGTTCAAACCTCATGCGAGCTTCACCCTGCATTAAGACAGTGATGGTTGTACTGTATCACGTACTATAAATATGGTATTACTTATTCACCATTGTCCTCAACCGTGAAAACAATCTCAAAACAAAATGCTTAAATCTCTACAAAAGAGAGGCTGGGTACAGCGGACTCAAAATAAAAGTAAGATCTGCGGGAAGTTAAGATCAGGTTTGATGGTTGCAAAATATCCTTCTCAGTTTTATGTGACTTTTTAGTGGCAGTTGCTGCAAGGATTGTTCCATAGAAAAACAATACGCATGTTGTGATTTATTTAAATGTGCCTTACCCCACACTTTTGAGCAGTCTGAATGTCCTTGCACCAGTACGTCGGTCCCCAGGTACAACGATTATTTCCCAGCGGCTCCAACTTCTTTGAAGCAACACACAGATCGGCTCTCTGCAGACGGGACAAAAAATCCAAAGGAAATCAACCAGACTGAAGAATATGTCTTTGTAAGTATTCAAGTTGTTGCCACGTGTTCATGGTTGTTGTTGCGTGGACCAGGGCTCCTCATACTGTTGTAAATGATATTAGTAAAACCACTTATATGTCTACCAGTGATGGTAATAGATGTCAGTAAATGTGCTTATTTCAACCCCAGTGAAGGTCTGACGGCACAACTGCTTCACCATTTGTTGACAAAAAAAACATTTTGGATCCGTAATACTGTGTGGAGACATTTAAATATGAAATGTTAGACGGGTCTTGAAAAAGGAGCTTCTTACTTCACAAGCATGTGGAACATCCATCTGGTTTCCCAAAACCTCCTGCAGTTGAGAGCCGTAGATTTTGGTGAAGGACTCACACTGAAAAGAGCATGACAGTTGAGAAATTACAAATATTCCGTTTTTTTTAACATCCTGACTGATATCTGCTTAACAAACCCATTTAATGAATCTCAAATGTAAGTAATAAACAACGTGAGGCCCAACATTCTTAGTTATCGTGATCCATGACATAGTTTTTAGTTGTGAGCAGTATTTGTGTTAATGGGAGCTGAGGGTCAGACCTTCGGGATGGCATTAGGGTGATGGACACACACAGACTGGAGGAAAGAGGAAGCCAGATGTTCGGTGGAGTTGAGTCCCAGGTGAAGTCGGCTGAGCACCGCCAGCGTGCGGCACGACTCGCAATCAGAGGGGGGGGGCAACTCTGGGGAATCAGTGGAGCGTTAAACTCTGAAGTAGAGTTGTTGGTTTCAGCTCCAACCAAAAAGAAGGCCAAATGTATTCATCATGTGACTGACCTGAAACGGGCTGCTCCTCGAACAAACACACATGCAAAAGAGTACATATGGTGTGAGGGGCAGCGGACGATAGGAGGAATTCCACTATCAGCACTCCATATTTCTCAACAAAATCGTCACATTGGTCCTTGTAGCTGTGTGGTACGAGATCACAGAACTCAGCCATGAGCTTTTCCAAAGCATCCTGCAGGGCGACACAGATATGTAACATGATGATATTTGTTGTTGTGTCTGCAGGACAGAGTGATATTAAAAAAAACAACATTCACCTCAGTCATATTTTTAGGCAACAGGGTCTCCAGTTTCTTCACGAGAAAGATACACAGCGTGCAAGCTGGGTTGAACAGTTTCTAGAGAGAGGATTAACTGATTAGAGGGACATTTATAGTATGGAAATATCAAGCACAAGTTTCATTTCCACTTCTATTTTAATATCCGCTTCTGCTTTCTCACACTCACAGAGATGTCGGAGGCTTTGCCGATAGCAGAGCTGGATGTGTCTTTGTTGGTGTCATGGTTAGGGAGTTTGAGCACTTCCTCCTCCTTGTGGGCAGCACACAGTCCAAAAACCATACAGGTCTTTGCTGGTTTCTACATAAACACATTAGAAGTTGATCATTGATTGTTCATTATAACCCTTTAAAGAAGCCTATCTAGAGGGGGAACTCACCAGGTGGCCAGGTGTTTGCTGCAGGACTTTGGGCAAATACATCTTCACCTGTGACTCACACTCTGATGCCTGCTCTCTTGGGAGGCGTTGGCACAGAGCATGTAAGGTTTCATAGAGATTCTCCTGCAAAAGAAAAGTAGTTAATGCAGCGTCTATGTTGTGGCGGTATTTCTAGGTTACTACTCTGCAAAGTACACAAGCAATCATGTGCAAGATAATTTGACAAATGTATACTTTTGTGATCTTGACGTTCAGATATTGGAATTTGTCTCATTAAATGTGTGCTTACGTCAATGCAATGACCAACTTTAGAGATGTTCATTTAAAGGTTGACATTTTAGACGCATTACAAGGATCCCAGTTATCTGCAAGTTTCCAGAATTCCTCAAACAATGGTCAGTCAAGTAAAGTGATTTGAAAGTTAGGTGAAACAGTGGTGTGTGATTCGCAAACAACCTCACCTTGGTAGTTCTGCTGGAAATCATGTTGGCGGACAGATGGATGACCTGGCTGCACTCTGAACACATATCTAGCGTCTAATGGGGAGAAGCCACAGTGACACACGTTAGTTGCTAAGGATATTCATAACAGCCACATTTCAGAGTTAATGTCAAAGAAATTCAAAATCATCACCTCTAATGAATAAAAAGCATCTCATTTTAAAATGTATGTGCAGGAGCTCCAACAAATAAATAAATATGTTTAAGTACAGTAGGTCGATGTGTAATCCATTTAAAATTAACAATTGGTATGTTGGCCTTTTTAAACATTTGACAAAACGGTGATAATACAGGAAATGAATGTCAGGCTCACCAGAGATTTCTGTTTAATGAATGACAAAGGATCTGTGATGAACCTGGAGTCTCCTTTAAAACAGAAACATAAAATATTCATGAAGGGAAGGGAAGAGAAATAGAAGGAACGACCATGTGTTAAAGGTACCAAAAAGAGTAATAGTAAATCAAAATACAAATCCATGTTCTTTTGCATGCAATTGCTCGAAGCTCAAGTATCATAGCATAAGCACCAGAATAACAAACCTGATATTTCACAACAGATTTAATGGCGACCGACAGCCAGGTGACAGACAGTGATGCAGACATGAATAAAGTAATTGCCGGTAAATGCTCTTCTTACCGGTCCACAGAGACACGGAGAGGACCAGCAGGGTGAAGACAGACGCTGACATGATGTAGAGAAGTCTCAGCGATGTCAGGCAGTCAGGTGATTTTATAATGACATCAGTGCGCACTTATTTGCCGGATTTAACAGCGGATGGATACCACTGTTGTGTGCTTTACCGCCACCATTTGTTTCGGAGTGTCATGACAGCGGAGGGTTACTTACAAAATATAATCCGGTGCAATTACTAGTCAGGGCCCAGTAGTTCAATATTTTTAATCCCTATCTGATCGGATCAGATTTGGATTTTTGGTAGTTCAAAACAAAAAAAACAGGATTATGATCACTTTGATATCCTATCAGATCAGGAAATCAAATCCAAGCTTTAATCTGGATCAAATCTTCAAAACGGGTAGTTCAAACCGACAACACAGGATTGCGATCAATTTGATCCCAAAAAACTGGATTATCTTGATCCCACCAGAGGGGTGGATTTCCAGTGGATTACTAGAGCAAAATGTACTGTACAATCTATTTAAAAATATGTTTCAATATAAATAAAATGGCAACGTTTGTTAATTGAATTAATACACAATTTTTAGCCTTCATGGCAAATCAATTTTATTTTTCATTTTTTGGTCACGTTTGTGGTGGCCTATTTTGTTTTCAACCAGATGTTGATGACATAAATGTTTATGCTCATAAAAGTATCACAACAAATATTGTCAATCACNTGCCTAAAAATAGCATGATAGGTGACCTTTAAATAATAAATTGATACATGTACTAATTGATTAAATAAAAGAAACACACATTTATAAAACCTAACAACAACTTTCAGAACTTATTTCTTGTTAACATGAATTTATAATTTTCTAATTTGACAATAGTTAACTTACTTTTGTATTACTTAATTCCTCTTATAGTGTTTATGTATGCACCATTATACACCAAAGCATATTCATTGTATGTAAATCTACATGGCAATAACCCTAAACCCTAAAACCTTGGCACAAATTTAACTTTCAGACGTGCCGATGAAGAAAAGCTGAAAAAAAGATTTCCGAAGTTAGCTGTACTTTTCTTACTACTATAATGAAAATCTCTAAGGTGCAGATAATGAATGGTCCGCTCACCGAGTCTTTGAGAGCCATGAAGCAGTGGCACATCCAGCGCCGGGTGGTGCCGTCTCTGCAGATGTAGGAGAAAGCCTTGTCGTAATTGCGATCGGGGGCGCAGAACGAAACCTTCTCTATGGTCTGATCCACAATGAGGTCCTGAGGGAGAAGCGGATGAAAAGAAGACTGAGAATAAGAGGGAACCAGATTCAACAGCTCACACAATGCGGTCGAGTCAATCCTATAAGATATTACAAAGATGATTAACCTTTCTGTTGTACTCGGGTCAACGTGACCTGTTTCTAAAATTTTGCAAAGTCTAAAATACGTTTTTCTGTCTGACGTTCAGTCAGACAACTCACGTGTTTCTTAATATGTTTATTAAAGGCAGCATATTTGAGTTTGGCGTCTATAGGCTCGGGCCTCATCACTCCACAGATTTATCAAGAACATTGAGTGATGATTAGATAACTATCCCCCTACCTACCTACCTACCTACCTACCTACCTACCTACCTACCTGCGCATAAAGCAGACTCTTCACACTAACTGTCACTACCCGATCTGCAGCTCTGCCCGATCTGTACTGCGCATGTGCGAGATGGTCCGCCATATTGGAGAACTCTGGACGGCAACCCAAGAGGGACACTTGACACAGTGGCTTTTGGCAAAGCTGAAAAATAAAACTCGAGAGAGATGATTTATTGTTATTACAACGTGACTTCACTATTATTTAACAACTCTTTTTATTGGGTTCTTTTATTTGGGGTTAAGTAGATTGTCAGAATATGTGAGAAATGAATTGAACTGCAATTAGACAGCTATCATACTGAATAAATATTTACTGTGAATGTATGCAAAAATGTATGGTATATAGCTGTTTAACAGAAGTTAAATCAATTTCTCACTTATTCTGACAATGTACTTGACGCCAAATAAAAGAACCCAATAAAAAGAGTTGTTCAATAATAGTGAAGTCACGTTGTAATAACAATAACTCATCTCTCTCTCTCGTTTTATTTTTGAGCTTTGTCAAAAGCCACTGTGTCAAGTTT